GAAGAGCCTGGGGAAGAGGGTTCTACACAGAGAAAATGGGGAGTACAGAGACCCTGAAGAAGGGAGTGGTGAGTCCACACAGTCTGGTATTACAAGGTAGACAGGACAGTGTGCAGTAAGCAAGGATAAAGGCCACTGAAATTCAGAGGAGGGAGAAAGAATTACATAAAAGTACTTCTTCAATTATACAATTTTGGTTTTAAAATTATGCAAGTTTAAGGAACTTTTTTTATTTCCTAGCTGTAAGTGGGAGGTATGGGGGTCAGAGAAAGTTCCTAAAGGATGATCCCTAAGAGGCTGAGACATTGGAAAGGCAGCTTTCTCTTCCCTGTAACTTGAACCCCTGCTCCATAGGATCACTGCCTTATCCAGATGCCTCTAGAGAGCAAGGGCCAGGGTGGAGGATGGGGCTGTGGGCAAAGGTGGTGGCTAGTATAGGAAATGCTGCCCTACCCTCATTTCAAGCTATGCGTGACCCTGCCCTCCTACCTTTCCTAGGCTTTTCTCTATAAATTCTTTGGCTTCGCCCTGTGGACTTCAAGAAGTGAGAAACTGGTGAAGATGATGCTCTCCGCCATCCTTCAAACTTCCCATGAAAACGTGCAGGAGAGGGAGGTGAGGCAGAGTGCATTGGCCAAGCATTTTCAGGTTGAGTCAGGATGGCAAGGTGGCTAAAAGCTTGGGCCTGGCAAACCAGAGCACCTGGGTGAGAGTTCCAGCTCTGCCACCTACTAGCTATGTGCCCTTGAGCAAGTTACCGAACCTCTCTGTGCCTCAGTTTCCTCCTCTTTAAGACAAGGCTATGGTACCTTCCTGATAGGATATTTCTTTAAAAGATTTATTGAATTTTAAATAATTTTATATTTAGAGGAAAGTTGCAAAAAAAATCCCAAAGAATTCCTATTTATTCTTCTCCCAGATTCCCAAAATATAAATGTTTTTCCATGTTTGCTTTATCATTCTCTTTCTCATAAATTACATAATTTATTTACTAACATTATTACTGTATTTTTTTAATCTGAAGTGAAAGCTGCAGTCATGAAGCTCATTTACCCCTAAATACTTTACTGTCTACTAGCTAAAAATAAAGATATTCTCTTACATAAGCACAGTGCAATGATCAAAATCAGGAAATTAACATTGCTACACCACTGATATCTAAATTATAGACCCAGTTTGAAAATCATCAATTGTCCCAATAATGTGTTTTAGAGCAAAAGAAAAATATTCTTTTTTTTCTTTTTTCTTTTTTTTTTTTTGTCCAATGTCAAATTCAGAATCAAGCCGTGCATTCAGTTGTCATTTCCCTTTAATCTCTTTAATCTGGAATAAGTCTCTCATCTTTATCTTTCATGACCTAAACATTTTAAAAATGTACAGACCACTTATTTTGTACAATGTCTCTCTCTTTTGGTTAGTTTCATATTTCTTCACGATTACATTCAGAGTGTGCATTGTTGGTGGAATACCACAGAAGTGATGTGTGTTGTAGGATGGTTTTGAGGATTAAAATGTAAAACCACTAAGAGCAATGCTGGTACATAAGCAATCTCTACTTGCTGATTACTGGTAGTGCTGCTGTTCATGCCCTAGGGCTGAGTCATGCCTGAGACTGGGACATGGGCAGCCATTTTGCCCTGAAGAGATAGCCCCTCCCCTCCAGTATCCAGGCAACTAATACCTCCACACCCAAATTCCACCCTGATTGGTAAAAGGATTAAAAAACAAAAACCTAAATAGTCCCTGAGAGCAAAAAAGGGGCTGGACTAGAGACTGAGTTTCAGCAATAGGATCCTGAGAAACACTACCATACAGAAGACTGGGATCTTAAGCCAGCCAAAGGAACACTTCACTTTTTCATTTTTATTTTATTTTATTTCTTTTTTATTACTTTGTTATCTATTTTTTCTTTTTTCTTTGTTTACCTGTTTTTATTTGTTGCTTTATTTTCTATTTCTTTTCACATTATTTTTCCATCACACTATTTTATTTTATTTTTATTTGCTATTTTTATACCATTTTTGAAATCAAATTTTTTGTAAATTTATTATTATTATTTTTTCTCATTCTCCTTCCTCTTATTCAACCATCCCCTTTCTACTTCCTCTCTACTGAACTGAGATCCTCCCTATATTCATCCAACTCTTAACCTTATCTTCTATATATAAGCTCAGCATCTACAGATTCTGCCCCAACCTTCTTTGCTGGGGGTTTGGTGTTTGTATTTTTTTTTACTTTTAT